GAGATTTTTTCTAGTATACTGACTGTATATTTGAACTGTAAGTACTCTCCTTAATATACGCGCGAGTTACTAGGGTGCCTCCTCGGGATTTCGCCTCTGGGCGAAATCCCTGCGGGGGCAATAAAGTGCAACAAACAGCAAGAAAAGTATTGTGTTTCCAGAGAAAATATCGTGCACCGTATATTAAATATATGGATAAACGATCTGAATTTCTATTATTTCCTACAATTTACTGTGGGAAAACCAGAGTTAAACCAGAGTTGATAACCACTTGATCATTTTCTAAACAACGTTCCCACGAGTTCTTTCTATAGACTGATAGTAATTATTCTAGTACTTTCCAACATGTAAATAGGACATTCAATGTCATTTTTGATTCTTCTAAGTCTCACTGCCTAACTAATGCCAGTATCAACAGAATGTGCCGCAGCATTACTATCTTTTAGATACCCTAGTTTAATTAATTTTAACCTGAATATAATAATATTTTGATCTGCAGTAACACTTTTGAAAATGAATACAAAACTGCCTGGAGGAATTACACAGAACATTACTTCCTTACATGCTACTTCTTTGTAATTACAAATCAAAAACATTACATTATAAGGAAATAATGTCTGAATCTTTTTTCGCTTTGTTTTGTCTGAACAAAAAGTAACGTTTCCTAACGTTTTTTAAACTAAAAATTGTTATTAGATTTCCTTTTCTTCAGTCTAGCCTGCCAAATTTCACAAACAACTTGTTAACCAAATGGAGCATTTGCATGATATAAGGTAATGGGGACCTTTGGGAGCAGAAGTAAAAACATCAATACAGAATAGCCAAGATGAACAAAATGACAACTCTTTAAGTTTATCACACTTTTTGGTACATTTCTCTGATGTCCTCTGCCCAAAAACTACATGAAGTTTTCTTCACTATTTTTTGTCACTCGTTTGTGTTCAGTCAATTGTGTGCTGAGGTTTCTGAAGGTCTCACCAATGTAAGTGGCCTGCCAGTCACAGCATCAATTTTATCCTGTATACTGCTCCCTGTCTGCTCCCCTGGCCTGTCTTTGTCCCTGACATTTGTTGACAGTTATCGTAAAGTGCCCACTGGTTTGTGTGCAATGCATGCGCATATGTTGTAAGGTTATAGTATACGAGCGATAGTTTCAGAGGTACCTCTGATGTTCAGTATAACATCATAACAGGGCCAAAGTTAAAGTTGTCTAATAAAGTCTGCATTGTAGTTGTTTTACTAAAAGCATTGTTTAGATAGTCAGTCTCATTTTGTAGTCTGTCAGGTAAGTTACAAACTAGTTGCACTCATTTCGTCAAAGTCCATATAGTTGTAGCCTTGTGAGACGTCAAGTTGTGAAATGACTGGTCTAATAATCTACCAGTGTGTGTCGGTTTTCTGTAAATTGTCCTTCATAGTCTGTTGTTGTCCCAGGTGACTAAGTAATCTAGAAATGGTATTTTACCATTTTCTCAATCTAACTGGCAAACTGTATGTCCACGTTCAGTCTGTTATGGTGCCCATGAAAATTGTCAATCTCATCTTTGTGAGCAGTGGTAAATGTGTTGCCCACGTAGGGTGACCAAAGAAGTATGGTTTGTGTATAAACAACTAGAGCTTGTTCCTTGATGTTTTGCATAACAATTTCGACCACAAAGTAAGTTAAGTTTACTTTCAGTGGAGGTGGCAAGATACTTTTTTAAAAATTTACACTATTCAGCTGACTATTGAATGAGGCCATTTTATACATGCCACCTTGCATGTTTAGCCAATCTTATTTTTATTCCTATAAACGTACAAGAGTTTTGATACGCACTTCTGAACTTCGCAAGTTAAAAACGTCTTTGCGTTTAGTTTTTTTGTGAAGTCGAAATCTTCTCATGCTTCCTGCCAAACATGGCAGACAGAAAAATACAATACTTTGCCTGATGATAGACTACCCTTTTAAAAAGTAAAATTAAATGAATACGTTGAACAGTACTCGCAGACTTACCTGGATTGACTAATAATGATAGAAGTAATTCCACGAAGGTATTTTCAAGCGAATTTTGACTGCAATTCTGTGTCTTCAGTGTTCAAAACTGGTGTTCTAAGTTCGTGCATGCGTGATGTGCAATGTCTTGCTGATCAACAGCAGGCTCAGATGAGTGTCATGATGAGCCCCACGTAGACCCACCCCAAGCCACGAATACATAGTAAATGTTGTTCGCATTTTAGCTGGAATGTTTTTCTAGATATTGTCTTTGAATAATGAAAGTGTGGAGACTCGTCAGCAGATTTTTACTCCGAGACGGAAAAACCGCTCCCACGAAATTTAAACTTTATTTATTTATTACTTGCTGGTAGGGACTTGTTTACCCAATAGGGCGTCTAAAATTTGCCATATTTTAACATTGGTTGAATGAGAAAAAGCGACATCAGGAGCACCTGGCGCCGGATAATAAAAAAGATGTGACGGCAAGAACTCTAATATTTCGCATTTTTTCTCCAAGGAAGCACCTTGGCGGCATGCAACTTGATCTTGGCCACCTGATAAGCATATCAGCCTGAACTTGTATCATAGAGAGTCAGACTTGTTCTTGGGCCATCGTAGTTTTATCAAAACTAAAACACAAACAGCAGTGATAAACATTGTGAGTTTCCACATTTTTATAAACTTTAACGGTCACTTAAGATCACTTTTGAAAATGTATGTCGAACGTCAAGTTTATAAAAATGCAAAAACTCACAATGTTCATCACCGCTGTTTGTGTTTTATTTTTGATCAAGCCTGAACCTGATTTCAGAGCCCGGTCATGAAAAAACAGTTGTCCATGACTTGAGAAACCTGGAGGACAGTGACCAAACTGCTTTATATTCTCGTACAAGGTGCGCGATATAAAAAAAGTCGACTATTAAAAGAAAGCTTTTTTTCTATAGAAACGCCGTAAGCTCCCGGGCGTAAGCTCAGCTGTAAGCTTCCTATTGACCAAATAAACATGACGATGATTGTATGATGACATATTTTTGGTTATTGATCTTTTCGCTATAAACTACACGTATCAGTTTCATCGGTTTTTGTTGCTTTCAATAACTTGCCACCGCACGGTCGTCGCTTCTCTCCCTAGACCTGACTAGCTGACTTAGGAATTTGAAACATGTTGAAATGCAAGACTTTTTTCCCAAAAAAGTATATACCATATATTGCAAAAAATTAACCACCAGTTCACAATAAAAACGTACGTGGTTGCGTTTGTCCAAGGACCACCAGGGCCCGTTCAGATGGAGGGGCGGTGAAGAGCGGGGGGGAGAGTTGGCGCAGGGCTCCCAGACTTTTTGAAAAAAAATGAAATTAAGAAATAAGAATATTCTACTGGCAGACCTCGCCGAAGCATCCAAATTTATGATTTGTCTGTTTCGACCCTATATCAGATGGTATAAAGCCTCAAAACGACTATCTTCACAAAACTTGTACTGCACCCAGTCGTAGACTTCTGCGTTTTTTTCATCAGCCAGGCACTGTAGTATACACAAAATGGAGTTTTTTTTATCAAGGTTCTTAAATCTTCACGGAGCTACGGTTTCTTAAAACTGAGGAATTTATTGATGACGTGGTTGCTGACGCATTGGAAAGCCCCACCAGAAATTTTAAAGTTTTGATAGGCAATAGTTGGGATATCACATATTTCAACAACAACAACAACAGTTTATTCAGAGCATGATTGTGGCGCGCAGTTTGTTTCAAAATTACAGTATTTGTCAACGTAATGTTTTGATGTGGCATGACATGTCCTATGAAATGTTCCTGTGATAGAATCCACCTACCACTGTTATTTTTCGCCTTGATAGTTTTACTACCATGACAGAACATTTTCTACCTTTTTATCATGATAAAAACCCCATTTACACGCGCCAAAAAAAATCGGCACGACACGCCAAATTTTTGGCACCGTGCTGACGATTTTAAAGCACGGCACTCCCAATTTTCCACGTGTAAACGTATGGGTCCCAAATGTAATGTGGCACCAGTGCTCAAAATTTTAGGGGTGCCGAGACTACCTCCCGGAGGTAATCTTGGCACGGGTAAACGAGGCACGGTGCCAAAAATTTGACGTGCCGTGCCGATTTTTTTAGCGCGTGTAAATAGGGTTTAAAAGGGGTTAAAATGATATCAAGGAACAAAATGTTCCGTCACGGTAGTAAATTGATATCAAGGAAGAAAATGTTCCATCACGGTAGTAAAATGACAGCGAGGAATTAACAACGGTAAGTGGATTCAATAGCCATCACAGGAACACTTCATGATCATAGGAGAAGTTCCGCCAAGGGAAACATCACGGTTACAAATAATTTAAAAACATACATGATAAATGAAATTGTCACCATCTGCAAGCGCTTCTGCTGGTAAATCCTGATCGTAGCAGGAGAAGGTCCTTTTCGGCGGCTATGGCTCCGTTCAACAACATGACAAGAAAGGTTCTTCACAGGAGAGCTAGAACGGTTTACAAACTTCAAAGTAAATGAAACACGCGAAAATTATGATGCTGGTTTGCATGGTTACGCGGGTCTTTTTGTTACTAACCCCTTTCTCGTTTGTTAAACTAAATGCTCCATGAGTTGTAGGTCAGCACCAGGTGACTGCTAGGTAAATTACGATAGTAGTGTCCACAACACCCCCCTCCCGCCGCTACACTTCAAGAGAAGTGGATCGCAGGCTAGGGTAGGGCTAGACATGAAGCATACCCCTCCCCTCTCCCACCCCCTCCCCCCACTAACAAACACAAGCTCACTTTATACAAGAGGTGAAATGTATTGGATGCAACAAAGTTGTTTAATATCTAGAGAAATGTTGCCATTTCAGTTCGATATTAGAGTATTTATTGATTGATGTTGCTCACAGCTTACTTTTTTTGTTACTAAAGAGACAATAGATATACAGGATCATTCGTTCAGCTGATGTCATGACCACCCTTAGACAATTTTTCGTGACAAACGCGGCAAGTGCAAGACCAAGTGGACTTTGAACCTTTCGTGGAATTTACATTCGTGTTGTTGGAGGTGTGCGTGTCGGTGGGGTTTTCGTCGATCTCTGTTGTAGAAAAAAAAACATAACGTAAATAAACCTTTCAGAAACCGGCTACTATGGCTGAAGCGAGACTTGGTGTGGCGTTTCAATTCCAAGTTACAGAGGAAGGAATAATCGTCAACTTTGACAGAAATGCACTCAAGTTTGTTGGTCGCGCCATTGTGAAGTCTGCAAAACGACGAGTGAAAGGCGCAAAGAAAGCGATTTTGAAGAGATCTTTCCCTGCAACTCCAGCGACGTGGATCCTTCTAGTGGCTGCTCTAAGCGCTGCGAGATATTCAGAACACGAAACAACAGTCGGAGTTTTGGGAAAAGTCGAGCGCGGACTTCCTTGGTAAGCTTAAGTATTTTGTAATACAAGTGGACTTTGTCCTCTTTAGTAATAAAGAACTTTTACCAACTCGTAAATGAGCAGCGGCAAATGATAGCAACATCGTCACTGAGGTGTAAGTTTAAATTCTTGAAGTTAAGACGATGTATCTTAGGTTCCAGTTTTCGTTTTCCTTATCACGAACTAAGCCTTTGTACGACAGTAACGGGGAGCCGCTGAGAATGAGATCACATTCTTAACATTGTGGAATACGAAAGCTCAAGCTTAAAGTTTGGCGATTATAAATAGGTTATTGATATAGTAACATCTTTTTCAGTGTTATTATTTATATTTTCAAACTGGAAAAACACAGTTATCTTTTAATTTATCGTAAACTGGTACTGCGTCGAATAATAAATTATTGTTAGTGTGAACGGGCGGGTAGCCGAATTCAGATGAGGTAAACCGAACTTGCGTCGAATTTTCCTCGTCAAGTGTTTTTTGTCACCTTACATACTAGCTATAAACGTGTTGTAGCCATATTGATTTAATTTGGTGTCATTGGACTGGATTTGAGGGTAAATAATATCAGCAAATGTGGGGGTTTTGCTGGGGAACTGATGCAATAGGCAAGTTTTGTATTCGCCGACGGACCTGGGACGAGTTTGATTGCGAAGCTTATGGGGGTCAACTTCTTGGCAAAAACAAAAACAAACATAGGTATATTGCGGCTGAGTCGTTGAAAAACGATACAAATCATGAAAATAATAAGATTTCAAAGCTCAAACTTTACCAGTATGATGAAGGGATATCTGTTTCAAACAGCAAAACTTTGGAAAGAGCTGGTTGAACTAACCGAGACATGAAAAAAGCCACAACTGAAGCGAAAAGAAGAAGTAAACTTCAGCTTAAAAATGGTAAATTAAGCTTATGTTTAAAAGTCAATATTTGATTCCCTTTTATTTTCAAACTTTTTATTAATATCATCTGTATTATTAATAAGTCTGTATTCGACTTCTAATCGAGTGAAATGTGCATACATTGATCGTTTTTCTACATGTGGCTGATTGTTGCATCTGACAACTTGAGCGTGAGAAGCAGTAGATGCAGCTAGTCTAGTGTACCAAAAAGGTTTTCACGAACTGCTGAATATCTCACAATAACCATCTTACACGACGTTAAGTAAACACCACATAGGTAAATTTAAATTTCTCTAAAAAAAGTTGCGATTGTCCAGTGTTTCAACCGAGGAGCGTTTGACGGCTCCGTTAGAAAGGGAAATAGCCGGATCGCAATTATTTAAACGAAAGGTACCTCAAGCACATCTAAACAAAGTCACAGAGCCCAATATAAAAAAATATAAACAAACTCGCCCACTTTCTTGCCGTACATTTTCAGCGACAACATTATTTTGCATTTTGTTTGCGACGGATCGAGATCGATCTTGCGCATTCGGACGCTTTAATTGCTAGACTCGTTGCTGCTGTCAGAAATAAAGAAAGATCTTGGACGAAAGCAATGTTCAATATTATATTCGAGAATGTCAAATGATAAATATTATGTTGTGCCAAGACGAGAAAAATTCAGCTTGGCACAATGATCAAAACATCCTGTCGGAAAGAGACTTGCGATGCATTTGAATTTGAATAAAATACATTGTAAACAACTTTATGCAAATTTAGTATTTTAGATCGATTCATATCTTGCGAGCCGCGTGCAAAGTTTATACTACCGTTCGACGAGCGTTTTATAATAATATTATTTTCTTGACTTTAAATATTCTTGTTAATACATTAATTTTTAGGCATTTCAATGCCTAACTTAGGGGAAAAGTCCCACCTGCGTAAAACCATGCATGATTGTTTAAAATGATTTATACTATTTATTTAACAAGTTACAGGATTTACGCGGAATGTCAAATGGCCTTTTTAATCGACCTCACAGATATACCACGGGTCTTGGACGTTGTCATGCTTATGGTCTCTAGTACAAACAAACGATAATTTTTTTTCAACCAGATTTTCGTAATGTGTTGGTGCAGGAGCTGTAATTAATCGGCTCCTGGTTGGTGATATTCAATGGGGTCATAATTTATCAATCAGCAGCACAAAACAATAGTCAAATTTGCTAGACGTACAGTAAAATCATTAGGCTTATTCCCTCTTGCGACTTTATCGCTCGCTCATGATCAGTCCCTTTCGAAACCGTTACAATTTGTTTAGGATACACGCCTATGAACGAGAATTTCGCTCACTTGTCCGTTTCGTGGAAAACAACCATCAAATTTGCAAGATGTACAGTAAAATCATTCGACTTATTCCGTCCTGCGACTTTATCGCTCGCTGATTGGGTGTTACGAAAACTAAGACCTAAGACCGTCTTAGTGTTCGAGACTAAATTTACCGTTAAATTTGACCAAAAACTCGGTGGAAAGGATCGGACAGAAGATAATTTGACAGATTAGACCTATTCCGCTTACAATTAGACTTTATATTTCGACGGATTCGATTTTACAGGGTCTTAGTTTTCGTAATCTCATAAACTAAGACAGGTCTTAGGTCTTAGTTTTCGAGGGTCTTAGTTTTCGTAACACCCCTCGCTGATGAACAGTCTCTTTCACAACCATTACGACATTTAGGATACATGGATGTTTACCGATACATGCCTACGAACGAAAATTTCGCTCGCTTGTCCGTTTCAAGTCATGAAAAGCTTGCTTCGTTTGCCGAATCCTTACAATTTTACGGTACAGCAAAACTTCTGACCAAACTGTATGGCTTTTATCCATTTAACGGAAGCTGTGATTTTTTCTAACACCTTTGCCAGCTGTTCTAACTAACGGATACAACTAACGCCTTAATGCTCTGTTGCTAATAGCTAACAGAAACAGAGTTTTAGCTAACGGGTAAACTTTTCATTCTAACGCTATGAGGTTTAAAGCTAACGGTTGTGTTAACGCCTCTAACGTTTTTGAGAAAACTTTCTAAAGGGCAACTAAGGGATGACTAATGGTTTTGCCCGTTTAACGGATAAGCGTTAAAGTACGTTTTCCCGTGTACGGTCACATTTAACACCTCAAACTTCGGATCTGGAGGTCCCTGTTCAAGGCTTGCCACCGTGTTGTTTCCTCAGACAAGAAACTTTGTTTCACTATGTCTCTCTTCACCCTGGTGTATAATGGGCCATTTCTGAGTTGATCTAGACCTCTGTTTAAAAGCAAGGCTAAGTGCGAAACCATTGATATGAAAATGATTTTTCAGTCTCATGCAAGTGAAACTTATCATAAGAAAGGCTTTGCGCTCAGCCTCATTTTGAAAATGAGGGTTTTTGAAACTCCGGAGTGGTCTATTGGGTACCAGTGACTTACTGCTACAGGGTTAACTCTGTCAGGAGCCCATGACCCGGAGAGAGCAACTTCCATGTACTTGTGTCACAGCATTTTCACCAACCAGTTTATTTTTAGAAAAATTTTAGCAGGAATTTAGAATATCTTTTAAGTCACACAAACCAGTCAGCTAAACTTACAGATCTAAAAAGGATATTTTTGACCTTTTAAAGACATTCTGTTTTTCTTTTTAATATCTTACACTTAAGACGCACTCATAGACGGAGGCTGGAGGTTCCATTTTTGCTGGAAAAAGTGCTCCAAAATGTGTCTAAAAATTAACCGGTCTGTGATTATGCTGTGACATACATATGTACATGTAGGCCTAGTATGGGAGTTGCTCGCTTGGGGTTATGGACTTCTGACCCTGTGATGGACTAGCTCCCATCCAGAAAGGAAAAATACTCCTAGTTATTTCATGCTATGGAAACTGGAAACCAGTCCCTTGCCTTGAATGCAGAATTACAAAAAACTCTCGAGAGATGTTTCATCGTCATATTAATTTAAATTTGATGCAATCATCTTCTTTTTTTACATTTTTTGAAGGAGCCGCAGTTTAGACCCCAAAACAGTTATAGCAGTTGCGGTCTTGGTGTGTGCAACAATTCTATGGATGTTAATAGGCCACATTCAGCAGTTCATCTTGAGAAACTTGCTTCAGTATAAAGCATTTTTGTATGAGCCAAGAGGGTATGTAAAATTCAGTTCCTGATTAGACTTTAAAAAAATGCACCTTTATTTGAGTGTTAAGGTATTTAGCATGAGAGTTACCTATTGGGGACACTATTTTTTTACGTCTCCAACTGGAGACAGGACCACCATTTTACGTGGTCATCTGAGCCACACGAAGGTCTAGCCACTTGCAGTGCAAAGGGAGTACCTTCATTTCTCAGTTATTTTAAGGCCCTGAGTATTGGTCTGGCCCCAGGAATTGAACCTGCGACCTTCCGCTCTGCACTCAAGCACTCTACTGACTGAGCTAATCCTGCTGGGTCTGTTTCAGTCTTATCAGACTATGAGTCAAACATACTTATGAAGTTCTGTCACAAAATTAATCATGTTAATAATTGTGTCGCAACTTTCACTTTATAATATTGTTAGAACACCAAGTCCCAGTCATGCAAACGATAGATAATACTATTTGGTAAAAAAAAATTGTCCAGTGGATAATGCAATTAGCTTGTCCACTCAGTGCTTTATCCAATGGAGAGTGCTCTCCATTGTTTACACTGCTGGGTCCTGAGATGGCAATTTTCAAGCCTGGTGAGAGAGTGAACCCTGGTGTACTGACTAGCTAGAGAAACAAATCAGCTTTAAATGCTCAGAAGAGGACTCAAACTAGGAATCTTTGGATAATACGGATCTTAAGCAACAACAACAGCAACGGCAGTAAAACGTCACTCAGAAAGTGAATTTGCGCTGCTTCCAATTTCATCGCCCTTATTCCAACTCTTTTAATTTGTCAAATGTTGGCAATTTTTGCAGGAGTTGAATTTATTATAATGGACTGTATCTAAGTTCATAAAAAGAAAAAGAAAATTGTTGTCTTGTGTTCATGTCCTCCATAAAACATGAAATTGGGAAGTTTCACATTGTAGTCATGCAGTAACGGCAAAGAAATGTAACAAAAAGCGTGATGCATGAGCAAAGTTGATGTTTTGCCAATCTAAACCTATTGCTTCTTTGCCCTTCTCGTTCCGGTTGCCATCGTCGTTGCTAGGGCTCTCCACTGTTTGCCACTCTAGTGGTCTGACCACTCAACCATGCTACCTTCATATGTTCTAATATAAAATGATATGGGCTCAATAATAATTATTTTATAGTTTAATAATCAAGACATGTTGTCTGTTGTTGTTGTTTCGGATATGTTATTCTGAGAGCACATCTGTAACAATCTATGGATGTTCCATATTTGTTCTTCAGAAAATGAGTGATGTTTTCCTCACAAAACATGAACTAATAAAGAGTTGTTTTAACTTATAAAAGCTCTTATCTTTTGAATCTGTTTTAGAAAGCTGTCAGCAAAAACAAAATGCGTACTGGTATGTCTATCATTCATCAGTTTCATACTCTTTAAAGCTTCTAAGAGACTATTCAAAGCATTTTATTGGAATTATTGAAACCTTTGAAAGGAAAGCTGTCAACAAACCAGGAATTGGACCAGATCAGACCAATCCCTGAAACTTATATGTACCAATTATTGAAGAAAGGTTGGGAATAGGGTTGTCAGCTTTAAACTGATCTGGTCTGATCCAGTTGTTGTCAACAGCCTGAACAAAACTCTTTTATACACACTTGTAGAACTAAACTGTATGTAAGTTCTTATGTAGTAGTGCAGTGCTAGTTTGCTCCAGGAATGGTAGGTGGCCTCTGGCAGTTTACTTCTGCCTTTGGGCATCAGGAAAAGCTTTTAGTTGACATTCGTACATTTTTTTGTTTTTGCATTATTCTCATGTAGAATTCTTCTGTGAGACAAATATATGTAAGGAGTTTGCTGAAATCTGCCTTTTAAAACAAAAATCAAAAATCAAAAAATTTCTTCCCTTTTTCATGGAAGCCTTTACATCACATTCCTGTGTTATTTTTAGTTTCACTAATATTCTATTTGCCGTGGTTATTGCTGTACGATTTATACCTTATGTATAACATATATATATTGGTTTTGTTAATGTTTTGATCGCAGGGCCTTGTGAAACTCCTAGGTGGCAAGAATCCAACTCTTTACAGCTATGAAAAGTCTTTACCGTATCTGCCTGTTCCAGATCTGGATGCTACGATGAAAAGGGTAGAGTATTAATTAAAAGTCCTTTTTGCCAAATGGAGTATGCTTAAATTAACTCCTGCCCTTTTAAAACTTTTAATTACCGACACATTTTGTGTGTTTTCAGTATTTAGAATCAGTCAGACCTGTCCTTTGTGAAGAACGTTTTAAAGAGATGGAAAAACTAGCTGAGGATTTTAAGGTTTGGGACTTACATAAACAATACAATTTGTAACTGTGCATTTAATATGAACTGTTAAGTTGCAAGTGTTTTACACTTAAATTTGTTCTGATCATTATTTTGTTCTAGAATGGGCTTGGAAAAAGATTACAACGGTACTTAGTCTGGAAGTCATGGTGGTCCACAAACTATGTAAGTTGTAATGCTGGTGTCCCCTTTAAATATTATTCTTTCTTGCCTTTGTTCAAGTGACATTTTGTATTGTTATTTTGCCATGGATAGCTATCATAATTTCTTGATTTTGGTATGTCTAGTAGCCGCAAGTTTATCTGGTTGGCTTTTTTTGGGCAAGCAAGTAGTTGTTTCTTTTGTTGAGTCTATCATTATATTACATTGTGTGAAGCTAAATTTTTGAGCAACACCTGGCAAAGCAGGACTTATTTTTTACTGTAGTCGTTTTTTATGTTACTCGAACATCAAAACTACCAAAATGATTCCAAGTACAAGCACCAAGAAGACAGGGCTTCTGATGTTTCGCGCGGTCACGGAGCCGCGAAATTCAGGTAAATCCATGAAATCCCGCGAAATACACAAAGACATGCAAAATACCGCGAAATTCGGTAGAAATCTTATCAAATACATGTCTGTACTTATTTTGAAACTTGTCTCAGCTACTGGGGGTATTTACTTGCCGTAAACTCGCAAATTTATGTCAAAACTTCGTCACTGAAACGTGCAAACAACGTTCCGAAACTACCAGGCGTAGATTATGTTGTGAAAAACTGGGCACTAGCCATGATGTTAAAGGCTTTGCAATTGGTTCATTTCTAGAGCGTATTGTTGTTAAAAGAGCAATTAATGATGTCCTCTGTTAGAAAAACATTAAAAACGCTGGTCTGATCAGCGCAAAACCGATCGATTTCTTGCCAAATTTGCCCTGAAAATAACCACAAAATCCGCCATTTTTTTACCGATTGCTTTCCGGCCAAGTTTGCCCTGAAAATTCCCGCGAAATCGACTGATTTTTCCGCGATTTTGTCCCCAAAAATCCTACAAAATTTGACTTTTTTTCCGCGAATTATCAGAAGCCCTGAGAAGACCATGATCGTAAAGAATTCCCACCTAGCTGACATATACAGTTGCCTAACAAAATGTGTCTTATGCGAATAAAGTAATTAAATTTGTAGTTTTTGTGATTATTTGATTACCAGCTGCTATTTACACGTACATGTACATAACTGTGTGCACATTCATATTAGTAGATCAGGGATAAAATTACTGGAATAACAGCAAACGTAATAACGTCTGCTAATTTTTTTTTTGTATGAAGAAGCAGTCACTGCAGTATTTTGTTACACAAGAAGCATATTTTCCAGTTAACATTAAAAAATAGTGATATTTCATAGTATTAACCATATTGTTTTGTAGATAAGTGATTGGTGGCAGCAGTATGTGTATCTTCAGTCCAGGGAGCCACTGATGATTAACAGTAACTACTATGGTGTGGTAAGTATTTACTACACAAACTGATACATATTTTCTTGTCTGTACCTTTGATACATGTACCCATAACATAGAATATACACATTACTAAAAATACCTCTGCAAAAGAATTTTGCTCTTGAGCACAACATGATTTTTTAAGAATTTTTTGAAAAATTCAAATTTTCTGCCATTTTGGCTTTCAACGTGTTGTAGTCTTCTCATACTTAGAAAGCTCTCTGAAACAAAGGAGCTGTGATGCAGATTAAGGAACTACATGATTGTATGAGGTAAATTAAGGAACATGTGACTTTAGACACATTAGTAAACAAGTGTGGATTTCCAGAAAACAGCTTTTAAAAGGTAAAGCATGCCAGTGAGATGCACTGCAGTCAGGTACAATAACAGTAGTGACCCTGAGAAATGGACAGGCATGCAGGCATTTTGTTCGGTGCTAATTTTTTTTTGAAGAGGTTCGTGACTTAATGTGTTCTTCAGTTGACAGAATAAAAAATTTTCATATTCTAGGCAACTAAGACTTCTGTCATTCAATCAAGAGTCCTTTAGGGCTTTATTCCATGCATTCCTTCATTATTTAAACATTCAAAATAATTTATTGCTGTGTTGTGTTGTGTTTTTTTGTCAGGATGCTGTTCACGTCCCATCACCAATTCAAAGTGCTAGGGCAGCAAACATTATCCATGCCCTGTTCCTGTATAGGAAACAGATTTTAAAGGAAAAGCTTGAACCTGTAGGTGGTTATGATATGGCACACCTGATAAGTTAATATCTGTTTTTTAACATGAATTTCAATCTGTTACAGTGTAATTGCAATCATGACAAAGCAAACAACAATACCATTATTGAGCTATTTCGAAAAAAATAACTCATATGTCAGTGGTTTGGAATTGAGCAAATGTATCAGGGTGCAAAGAAAGTCAGTTTTACAGCCTGCCATTCGGGCAAGCTGTAGCTAGCATGTACTAGCCCACAAGTCATTTCAACTAGCCCCAAAACCCTTTTTTGATTAGCAGGATTGATAACCATCCTTCTGTAATTTGAATTTCCCCAAAAAATCCACTTGTCCGTCGCACAAGTTAAGAACAGAATTCACTAGCCCGAAAGCAAAATCCTCTAGCCCCGGGCTGTCGGACACGACTTTCTTTGCACGCCGTGTATCTTTATGTCTTTGTATGTTCGGATGTTTGTTGCAGGGGCCAATAAGGTTGACGGTACTATGAGTTGATAGGTAGGAACCAATGAGATTTTGGCATCTCCCAACTGAGCTAACCAGGCGTAAATGAAAAGAGAAATTATTAATTCTCATAACTTTATCTATTGACAATGTATGGATATTGTTAGGAGAAAATTGATGTTGGTCACTATTGGCACTTAAAGGGATAACACCGCTTTCATACTCGTATTTTCCTGTATTTTATCATAGTAAGCATTGATACTAGTAGTTTTGTTTCCATCCATTTTGCAGCAATTTGCCATGGGTATCATTCCACTTTGTTCAGAACAATTCAGGAAAACATTCAGCACAACAAGGATACCACTTAAAACCCAAGGTAACATTGAATAACATTGAAAACTTGAATTGGTTTCTGGAAGAGGAATTAATGTCATTCATGCTGTTTGTTTGGACTTGTTTTGGTTCATAATAAAATCAGTTGAATGTAACTGAATAAAATTAAATGTACGGCAAAAAAAACATACAGTTGATTGCAAAAGTCTTGTGCGGCCTCCTGTACAAAAGTGCCATACCGCACCACAGTAGTGCTTCAATAACAAAGCTTTACTGCTAAATTACCGTATTTAGCAGGATTTAAGAGGCCAAACAGTAGCCTAACGCAAGTTTCAGTGGGATCTAAAGGGCTGTGCAGCCATCAAGGCTCTTGGCTGTTGTAAGGCTACAAAATCAGCTCTGGTTGATCTGATAGTCTACAACTCCCTCAAGTACCAATAACTTGGAATGCCAGAAAAGCTTTTGCCACAGATTTTGGCTTTTATAGAAAACTTTGATTGTACCTGCAAGAAATATGAGTCTGGATTGTGCACGTTGAAGATCACATAATAAAATAGTCCTTCAAATTCTACGCTTATGGGAATAAACATTTCATTTAATTTAATTATGTGCCTGACAAGTGAGGGAATTTAATTTATGGTTATTCTGGAGACATTCTAGTCTGTAATCTATTGTTTTATTCTTTGTTTGTGTTTTGTTTTTTTCCTTGTTTGCTCTGTGTTATCCCTTTAGATCACATCCATCACCATGGTTCCTCGAACCATGCTGTCGTCTACCACCGTGGAAGATTTTTCAGACTCCATGGCTATCATCGTGGAGTGCTGTTGAAGCCTGCTGATCTTGAGAGGTATGGTTTATTTAACCCTTTAAGCCCTAAGAGTGATCAGCATCAAATTTCTCCTTGTAATATCAACGCTTTGTAAAACAGAGTGGTCATGAGACTTGTGGACATGATCACACAAGATGAATTTGCTTGATATTTTATCAACTTCTCCCCACTTCTTCTATAGGAAATGAGTAGGGGCAACAAATGAGATTTCAAATTTTGATCTTAGGGTTTAAAGGGTTAAATTTATATAGTACCTCTTATTTGGTGTAACATTTTCAGCTGCCTGCTATGATGCTTGATGGTAATGACAACGGTGTAAGGATGATGATGACCATGATTGGTTTGTGGGTTTAAATACGTTTTTACAGTTTTTTTTTTGCCATCAATGTTTGAACATGCTTTTATTTCATTCCATTAAGACAAATTGTCAAAATTCTTGAGGATGAATCAAAGCCTGTCCCAGGAGAGGAACTTCTACCAGCTCTGACCAGCGCTGACAGGTTGGCATTTTTAATAATGATAATGATAATGATAATAATAATAATAATAATAATAATAATAATAATAATAATAATAATAATAATGTTAATAAATGCAGTACTTGATTATCCTCTCCCCTTATGTGTCTTTTCAGCAGTAATGAAACAAGTAGTTCTGATGGAACATTATTAACACTACTAAGAATCCCAACTGGTAGGAGACGAACCAGTGGGCTCTTTTACAACCATTGCTGAGGATTTAAACTAAGGATTACCCAGGAACAAATCTAGCCTTTAGTTGATGGGGCAGGACTTAACTCGGGACTTCCAGCATACTAACTGCTCTGCCACACTGCACCCTTTAGTTTTCCTAACCAGAGTCTGCAAGTGAATGTACTTTTTGAAAAGTATTATTCTCAAAACTAGGAGTACAACATAAATTTTCACATCACGTATTGCTCAAGTCTTTTGTTTGAACTTTTGAATCTGTGGCCAACAATAATATTGTGATAATGTAGTGATTAAAACGAAATCTCTTCTTCAATATTTTATCATGATTAACTATTTATTTATCAGTCGTGAAAAATGAAGTGCCATTTTCATGGAACTGTCTTCAAAACGTCTTGATATAATTTTCCTGGTATGTTATATTATAAACCTGACCCTTGCAAATGTAATTGTAGTCATATTAATTACAATGGTTTTGAACTCAGAAACCTTTGGGCAGAGACCAGGAGCACCTACTTCAGTAGGGGTGTGAATAAGCAGTCTTTGGATTGTATTGAACAGGTAAGTTAATTCTTCCTCATATCAGGAATAAAATTTAGTAATAATTTTTCTGGAGAGAATCACCTTCACGATCGATTCCCGCTATAAATTTTGATTTCTTCTTAACAGGTTTTTTTTTTTTGATGAATTGGAATTAAGTTAATTCCCTTGTTATGCACTGCACATCAATTAGTGAGCAGAACAGTGCGACTTTAAAGGTGGTAATGATTTTCACTGGTTGCCAAAAAAGAGGTAACTAAGGTCCCTTTTGTTGTCCAAATGCTTTTAATAGCGATTTTGATGACTCTAACTGGCTAAAAAGGTGTTTGTCTTGAAACTCAGTCCCCTCACCCAAAATGATCATTTGAAGCCGAAGTTGTCCCTTTGTTGTCCTTTTGTGATGAAATGAGGATGATGATCCCCCCTTTTTTTTTTGTGGTTTTTGTGCATTATGGCTTCACAAAAACATGCATTAAGGAGAAAAAATCTGGAAAGTAGAAGTTAAATTTTTTTAGATGTGAATGACACAGGGAAGTATGAGATAATGTTAAAACTGTCCATTTCTCTACATTTTTTCAAGATCAGGTAATTAATTTGAAGTCACTTAATTGAAAAAATTAGGCTCTAGGTTTTAGTAAATTTCGTAATTTTTCCTATATGATAAGAATTTTTATTAGTTGGTCAAGTTTTGAGCATTTGGCACGTAACTGGGAAAAAACACTCAGAATTATGGGCACACACTGGGCCAAAACAAGCACGGTGACCCCATATTTTCATTGCAGTTTTTGAATGTCCTATATGTGGCTGACATTTGTGCCAAGTTTGAAAAGAATCTGGATAGTACATCCTTTTCAAGGGAATTACCTAAAAAGAAAATTTATGTTTTTAACACGTGTATTGGGCATAAACCAGCATGAGCGACCCTGCTATAGACATCATCTATTTAGGGCTTTGCATGGTAGTTAAAGTTGTGTTCATGAGAAAAAGAGAAGTATATTTGGTTAATGGTTTTTGACAAAAATTTTTTTCTGCCTTTTCAGGCTGCATTTTTCCTCAATTTGGAGGACTTGGAGATGAATTATGGCGAGGTAATGTAGTAAACAATAAGCAATCTATATTATCGTCCATATGAATTTGGAAAAAGATTGAATTCCACTGTCCTTAGTTTGTAGTAGTGGGTCTCACATTAAAATTGGTATTTTTGAGAAGTGTTCAGCCTGTTCATCTTTTTTGTTCTTAACTTTAAGGTTGGTATACACTAGATGACAAGTTGCAGCAATATGTCACACTGCCACGTCACAGCGACAAATCACTTTGTGTGTACTGGACAATTTTTATGAAAATCTTTGTCTCCGCAACAGAATTTTGTCCCAGCAACATGTCACAAAAAATCAAATCATACAATTTGTGCAACTTGTTGGAGCGATAAAATTCTGCTGCAGAGACAAAGATTTTCACAAAAATTATCCAGTACAAACGAAGCGATTTGTCACTCTGATGTGCCACTGCTAAGTGTTGCTGCAACTAGTCACCCAACCTGTACACACGGAGTGACCTGTAGCCACGACTTATTGCTGCAACTTGTCATCTAGTGGGTTACAATGCTTAGACGACATGGGGAAGTCTTTGTCACAAAGCAGTCATTGTATCGTCTGGAAGAAATTTCTTTCCTTACGTTAAATTGACAAGACTAAATAAAATGGACCTGAAAATGTGCACTTCACCCTTTTGTTAATATGAAGTCCCAGGGGCCCCACTCACATATTTTAATGACGGGGGGGTCCGAAGGATTTTTTTGGGTCTGACATTTTGGCCAAAAGGGATTTTTTGGGGTCTATGAAAGACGCCGGGATTTTTTTGGGTCGCGATCCAACTTCAACTTTGGCTTTAGTCAAAAAAAAACTATAAATTGCTCTATTGTTGTTTTGAGCTGATGAAAAATAAAATACCCCAAAAAATCTCTGGGTCGTTTTCGCGACCCAAAAAAAGCCCGGCGTCTTTCATAGACCCCAAAAAAGCCCTTTTGGCCAAAATGTCAGACCCAAAAAGATCCTTCGGACCCCCCCGTCATTAAAATATGTGAGTGGGGCCCCTGGGTATGAAGTGCTTGTTAAGCCAATTGTCAGGCTGCTTTTGTCAGGCTTAGTGCGTATCATTAGTTTAAGGTTTCATTGATGTCAGTCATTTCTTATGCAATAACTTTTTTTTTACATTATTACCAACCTTAAAGCAATGGAGTGCTGTAGTGTAATATTGTAAAGTTAGGCACGGAAAAAGGGGAAAAATCCACTCCAAGTTAAAATTCAAGATGTCAGGGATGTCAAATTTGACATTAGTGTTGTTGGTTCGTAAGTTCACGGCCTTGTTATTTTGAAACTACAGGAGGAATCAGAAGAAATGGATACTCTTTGTCGATATCTGCTTCATGGCAATGGCCACAGTTGTTGGTTTGATAAATCTTTTTCTACATACATTTTCAAGAATGGCAGGGTAAGATATTGTTGTCTGCATTTTTGTACTGAATATTTGTTTAGGTTGTTTGTGTTTTTACTCATCCTTGTGGCTTGGTAAATATCATTTACTCTTTATACAAATTCAAAATATCCTATTTTTCCAATTGGCTTAAACCCCTAGTTCATTTACCTAACATAATGACATAGCAACCATCTCAACTAAATTAATAGACCTTTTTACCGATACGGCGGCCATATTGAATCAATTAGATTTAAGGAGTATTATAGGATGCCCAGGGGGCATGAGCACGATCCAATATACTCACTCCGTATTTACGCACGCTTTCCGGGCCAATTTTTCTTTACGTTTTCCTAGAAAACGATTGTAATGGGAAAAAAAGACCGTTGTGCCGTGTTCGGATGTAATAATGATTGCATTTTCCCCAAGAAATATACAATGTAGTTCTCTTTTTGCCCACTGGTCATACCATAATACTCCTTAAATCTAATAAATTCAATATGGCCGCCTCATCGGTAAAATGGTCTATTGGAGGCTTCATGTTATTTGTCAATTGTTCTTTATCCATCAAGTTAATATAATTTTTAAATCCTCATTCCTGTATGTCATTGTATAGTAGAATCCCGGTAACTCGAACTCTGAAGGGAAACAAAAAACAGTTCGAGTTATCGGGGTAAATTGCAGTGAAATTTTGATCAAGGGAAAGGAAATGTAGTTCGAGTCAGCAGGGAATTCTAGTTATCTGAGTTCAAGTTATCGAGGTTCTACTGTATCTTACTTTTTAAACATTTTTGGTAATGTTTTTTTTTTTTTCTGTTAATCCACAGTTTGGCCTAACTGCTGAGCATTCATGGTATGAAAGCAATAAACTGTTTAACTTTCTGTAATTTTGAATAAACGAAACATAGAGCGGGCAGTGGGAGAGCATTGAGGCGTCTGCAGATAGGAACTTTTTAGCCTGCATAGCAAGCGTTAAAGGTGGTGGTGGGGGGGGGGTGGTAAGAAAGAAAAGAAGGAGGGAGAAAAATAAGCAGTCGGGTTTGGGGCGTTCCCTTCTTCTCTTTCTTACAATCCCCCCTCTACGGTTATAAATCGTTAAAATCATGAAAAATCGATAAAGATTTGACACAGCAAGTTAGTTCATCGATTTTCACTGATTTTCGTTATCAATCAATAAAATTCACTTGATTACTACCGTTTTTATTGATACCTATTTTTAGCGATTGACTACCCTGGGAGATAGCCCAAGCTCTGTGAGCTATGTCTGTTGTCCTTTGTAATGTCATGTTACCATAATTGAGTCTTTTTGTGTCTTGTACTGGTTTGGGGCCACCGTGAAGGCTAATTTCTTGAGGTTTCAGCTCCAGTAGCTGTTTCCTATTTATATACCTTGCCAAGGTTGGTGGGTTAAGCTCGTGAAATTCATAATTTTGCCATGAAATTGCATATTTTCCCCGATACTAGCCCTTACATTTTCACTATTACGCAACGTTCTGACCACGCTCAACCAGTTTGACATTGCCAAGTTCAACAGACATATCTCAAAAAGCTTGGGCGACCTGTGATGACTCTGGGTCTGTTGGAACACAAAATTTCCTTGTAGGGAAGCTAACAATGTCATTATGTTATTTAGTCATGAACTATGAACCTGCCCTAATACATCCATGCTTTTGAACTGTTCTGTTTGCAGGGCAGATGCTCCAATTATGTCACATCTTGGAGAGTCAGTTTTAGTTGACGATATTCACTTTTTGGGGTATGTTATTTACGTGATAAGAAAAGGTGTGTCTAATTCTTAAAATCAGTTTCTTAAAAGACTAAATAATTCCTTCTTTTACCCCCGGCAGTATTTATAGCACTAATGCTATTTGGGCCAAGCAAATGCATGAAACAAGTATTTATTTTTATTTGCTGCTAGCCTGCGAAAACATCCGTTTCTCCTCGCTCTTCGCCGCTGGGGACATTTCGCGTCCCCAGCGGCGAAGAGCGTGGAGAAACGGATGTTTTCGCAGGCTAATTTGCTGCGGATAATTCGTAGCTTTAAGAGCACTACCGATGTTTTCTTTTGTTATTAACAATAGTAACATTATTATGTTTCAGTTACAAAGAGGATGGTCACTGCAAGGGTGAGCCAGAGTTTGTTTTGCCCCCGCCACCAAGATTGCAGTGGGATATTCCTGAAAAGGTAATCATTATATACTCCACTCTATAAGCTACGCAAATGTATATAGGTGTGTGCCACCCCAGAGCCTGAGGGTGTAGATGTTTAGCCCTTTTGGTAAGATATCGGGTATGGTTTCCAAGGGAATCACATGAAGGGAAAAAAATTTTGTGCTTGGAACAATGTTCAGTGTCAAAACTACATGTACTAAATAGTAAAAAGAATGCACAAAGAATATATTGACTTCACTTGGAAAAGGTAATGGTTCACAGACAGAATACAACTTTCAGCTGCCAGGTCTGTAAAATGACCACGACTTTTAGGGCATACACATGCAATTCAGTTGTTTTTTTTTTGCTCAGTTGCTAACCAGTCAAGCAGTAAAATTGTGGAGGATGCAGGTTGTTCTTTCTTCATGCTCAATCGCATAATGAATGATTTTATTTATTTTGAATCGTTTTATTTGTTTTGTTGTTTCTTAGTGTGTATCAGTAATCGAGACTTGTCAGAAGAATGCAGAAAAACTCATCAGTGACCTTGATCTTCATGTCTTGGCACACACCGCCTTCGGTAGGTTGCTCTAGCCGCTATAATGTGAAGACTTACCCATAACTTATTGATAGTCACATTTATTGCGTTTGAAGAAAGAAGATGCAGTTCTAATCTGGCAGACTTTGTTGGGTTGCCTGTGTATCACAACATGGATAATTCGTGATTGGTCGTTGACAGCCGTTTGACCACCCCTCCCTCTCGTGTTCATGTTTTTCACGGACAGGTCGGGGGGGGGGGTACTTCCATATATGGGCTATATAGGTATGTGCTGCTGTGAAGGGTATGGTTTTTGTATATAAATCAGAGCGTTTGGGTCTAGAATAGGGTATCATTCTTCAGGAAACTGATCAGTTGGTTGAAGATTTTATCTAGACTAGGGAAACAGCTACTCTAGGATAGGGGGGATTTGGGGACTTCACTCAAGTATAGGGTAGCAAAATTCAGCTGAACTAGCTCTGGTATAGGTTAAGGGTTCCAGGGTCCCAGCGGCACATCCCCACTCAGAAATTCCTAAAGTACCCCCTCCCCCCGGGGGACAGGTCAAGTACAGCCCTCTTAATAACGCCTCAACTTCTATTTTAGGAAAGGGAGCCATCAAGAAGATGAAAGTCAGGTAAATGTCTTTGTTATTTACATACATTCCCTTTAGTCCCTGAAAGGAAAATTGTGATGGAACCTCTACTCAGCCAACAAGCATGTCTCTAAAGGCTCTTTTTGCTGCGATTAAAAAAAATCGCGCAGGTGAACCATAGGATGGCTATGAAAGGCCAGAAAGGGATAATTACTGCGGGAAACAAAAGTGAGTAGAGAGCGTAAGATTCGAGGACGGGGACGATATTTAATTTTAAGTTTTCTCGCTTATTCTTTAAAATAGACACCCCAGAAAGCTTCATTGTACTTTTTTTCACCACCAAAGTTAGCACGCTTACCTCCGTTGAAGGAAGTGAAGCCCTCACCCGATCGCTAAATGATAAAATTCCTAACATTATTTTGATAACTTGTTAAAACTCGTGGTAGACTGACGACGGCTACCACACTTTCCCGCCAAAATGTCGTTGGTTCGCGCGCGTGCACTACTTAGTTTTGAGAAAATGTCGTACTCGTCTTGTAATCTAAAGCTCCGTAATGTGAGAATTCTCGCGGGAAATTGTTTTTCTCGCGGTGTGCGTATCCACGATTAACGTTTAAACGTTTCCTCTGCAGTCCGGATGCATTTATACAGATGGGTCTTCAACTGTCTTACTTCAAGGTTTGTGGATCTTGCCATGTTTTATGTAACAAGTCAAACACGTTGATAATTTATGCCAAAGATTGCCGTTTCACTGATTCTCGCGCTACGCGATTCTCGTAGCGCTGGAAACGAGACGCGACTCGTAACTTACTTTTGAGCGGTATTGTATTATACCGCATCCGGACACTGAGAATTGAAGGGAATTTAAATGAAGAACGACAGAAAAGCCTGTGCTTTCGCGTACTACTCGCTCGTGACCTCTCGTGAAACACTTTGGCGAGTGTGTATAGCTGGTCAGATGATTAGAATTCTTGAGGAAATTCACGGTTAAAGTTCGCAAGATTTGATGGTAATCAGAATCTGATGTCCAAACCTTCTTTATGGTAGTGATTTCCTTTGTTTTTCTCTCATGAGTTATTAGAGTTTTTAGAAAGACTCGTGTGGTAACGGGTTGTGAAAAAATTCTACGTTAGGGTGTGATCTGACTACAACTTGAATCATGTTGCTGCAAATTTGTGACTTATTGTTGTTCATAATATCTTATCTAGGACCAAGAGCATTTCAGTTTGTCCTATGAGTCTTCTATGACAAGGCTTTTTAGGTAAGTAGTCTTTGAAGGTACTTATCAGGGTATATCAGGGTATAAAAGTTTTTATCTTTAATAGAAAGTCAACCACAGACAGAAATCATGAGTACCTTAACCATAACAGATGTTAACATTAAGGTGCTTATTATACAAAGTTGTGATTAAATGCATGCACGTTCAAATAACGAAATGCAAGAAAATATAACCCATTGGCTAAGGAGATAAATAACATTATTTTGCATTGTACTCACTATCTGCTAAAAAGGCTATAACTTAGAACTAGCTAAAATATTGTTAGAAAATGAACTGAATTGAATTTCATTGAATTGAATCTGTCTTCTCATTGGCTAAGAGCCTACAGTTAATTTTGGAAATCAGCGCAACCAACAAATTAGTTAGTTATCTGCTAGCAGAATAATCTGTAGGTTGCGCGCTCAAAGCGTGATTTCCAAGAGTAATGTCAAAATCACAGGGTGGCGAGAGGCATCTTTGC